CCACTTCTCTGGTTTCTTTTCAGATTGTATAAATCTTTCGCCTTTTACAATTCCCATCATCCCTGACCACTGGTCTTGTTAGCTAGGGATGATGGGAATTGTAGTCCCAAACATCTGGAGGGCCGGAATTTGCCTATACCTGCTCAAGGCGGCTTACAATATGAAAAGATTTACATCGTTACAAACATAGCAAAGTAGTCATAAAAATAAATAAAACACATCAAAACCACATAACCAAATCAAACAATTTCCACATAAAAATAAAGATTAAAAAAATTAATATCAATAACAGCAAAATTCCCAACAAAACTTTCCCCAAAATACCCCAGTCCTTGCTGGACAGCCTGTCAGGCCCTTGGCTAGGTGGAGAGAGGCAGGAACGGGGCCCTCAGACTCCCAGAAGGTCAGACATCTGAGGGTAATACCTTTGGGAGGAAGAAATTATAAACAAGGATGACAGGGATGGTAACTCTTTCCATTCCTACTCCATGTCAACCCATCCCTGCCAGGTTGCCACTGCGGGATTTCACGTATATGTTTGCAATGGCTGTTTGCTGCCGTAACACATACACTTAACAGGCAATTCGTCCTTGTGTTAACCTCCTACTCATTCATCATGATAGACACATGTCAGCCAAACTACTGTGCTCCTGTAACCCAGCTCTACCCTGCCTTCCTCCTCTCTTCCTTTCGTTGGCCAAACCCAGTTTCCACCCAGTTTATGGGATGGGAGAAATTGTGCCTTTTTTGTTTGTTTTCGAAGGTTTTCTCTGTGCAGACTTGCACAGAGGTGAGGTTGCCCAAATATTTGTGTGGGTTTCTTTACTTTGTTTTAATGATAAAAAGCCAAATCCAATAACACAATAAATTACACATCCAATCCAAGCCACTGGATGTCTGTGAGACTGCTGAGCAAGAAAAACTCTTGCAAACTTCACAAAGAAAGAAATTAGTAGTGAAAAAAGACCAGGGCTGGAGCATTAGTGCATTGTTGTGGAAACACAAACTCTGTTCAGATGCATCTTTAAGACTGCAAACCAATGCCATTCATGTTTTCTAAACTAGGGAGATCTAGACTTTTGGCAGTCGGGATTTAATGTGGAGGCATCCTCACCCATCAGTTGGCTACTGGATGCTGTTGTTAATTGTATTTGTTAGTCGGTTTCCTTACAAAAGTAACTCAAGGCAAGGTACATTAGAATGAATTAAAATCAACAATGAAAACCTAGAAATGCAACAATTTTAAAAGAACAGTCAAACAAGTAGTAGTCCTGCCCCACTAAACGAGGCTGCAAAATCCTTCAAATTAATGACCAAAAGCTCAGGGGGAAGAAATGTTTCTGGGGAATCCGTTCTATAAGCAGGGGCCACCACTGAAAAGGCCATTCTCATATTGTCACCCTCCAAAGTTCTCCTTGATGGGGTATATGAAGAAGAGCCTCAGATAATGACCACAGAATCCTGGTTGGTTCTTGATGGAAGAGGCAGTTCTTTAGGAGTGGAGAGAAAATACATTTAGAAATTGAATAATAATAATAATAATAATTCCGCCCTTCTGACTGGGTTACCCCAGCCACTCTGGGCAGCTTCCAGTCAATTAAAACACAGTAAGACATCAAACATTAAAAAACTTTCCTATACAGGGTTGTCTTCAGATGTCTTCTAAACGTCAGATAGTTGTTTATTTCCTTGACATCTGGTGGGGGGGGGGGGCGCCACTACCAAGAAGGCCCTCTGCCTAATTCCCTGTAACCTCACTTCTCGCGGTGAGGGAGCCACCAGAAGGCCCCCAGAGCTGGGTCTCAGTATTATTGGTTTGATAAAATATTTTCAATATATATATTTAAATATGGATTTTCATGCCATTTTTTTAAAAAAAGGAAACCACAGTTTAAGGTGTGAATGGGATGGAACGGACTTATGAACGAACCCATGTGAAATGGGGAGGGACTGGGAACAGACTTTGTGGTCCACTCACGAATAAATTAATAAAATATCCAATTCTACCATCTCTTTCTGCTGCTTGTGCAGCATAGGGATCTGCGATCTACCCAGGGCACATATTTAATGCTAGGCAAATAATAAATATTCTTACTCAAGTTGTAACTGCTAATCAAACAGCTGGGTAGCGCCTTCCCCTATAAATATATCTCCATCAATGAAAGGTGTTTCCTTCTTGTCCTTTTTTCTCCCCTTTTCATCTTCTTTTGCTTGGCTCCTTGCGTTGCCTGCTACTAATCCCAGGACCTACCCTAATTCTCTGCGTTCTTCTGCCATTTTCCCTTGTAGGATAACAAGTATCTTGACTGTAATCTATTAATTGAATAATTGAATAAACTTGTTTCCCTTGCAGTGAGAGCATATTGTTTGCACACACGGTGTCATCCCGAGCCCTCCAGCTATCGAAAGATTGCCAGATATGTTTATTAAACCCCTTGTGCTTGGAAAGAACACAGAAATCTGTCATCTGGGGTAATACGAAAGTGCCTATCTCAGCTGGAGATCGAGCTGTTATGGATAAAAGAAGAGTTTGCGTTACAGTTTGGAGATGCAAAGAGAAAAGGCTTCCCTATGGTGCAAATGTGTTGTAACCCTCAGGCAAGGAAGGGGAAAAAAATAATATTGACTTCTTGCTGGCAGTACAGTGTAATTATTGAGTTTGATGTAGCTTGGTCAGCAAGCTTCTGAAGAAAAACTATCCCAGTGAATTTGTTTTTTAGAATAAGCGGGCAAACACCAACATGTAAATATTTTGCATTCGGCGTGCTGAAAATTAGGAATGGGCCAGGTGATCTGGCAACTTTCAGCCAGATTTGATCCAATGTTTGGTGAGATTTAACAAGTCTCATTGGGAAGCCTACGGTAATTATTCCAAGACATGCCCAGACCAATTGACATATGAGCTGCCATATTGCTTGCAGTCACTCATGAGCAGCCTCACACGAAGACTGCCATTTCATTGGGCACATGAGCGCCACCATATTGTGTGTGCTTAATGTTTTTAGACCTGTGTTTATAAAACACATTAGCCATCTTTCCATGACTCCGTCTCAAGGCACACGGCATTACCTCCAAAAGAATACGGCAAAATAATAAAAACAGTTGTAGAAGGGATTAATGTGCTTAGGGGAGAGGGGGTACTCCAGATGAGGGGAGGGATTTTATTTTTAACGTGTAACAAGCTTTGTTAATAGTCTTACAATACATTATATATATAGTACATCTCTTAAAGTAAATTGAAATTTCAATCATGTACACACACAAAAGGAAAAAAAACCATATACTTCTCTTTTCTTACATAATTATGAACCTTACGTTTCAGCTGTATTTATGCTACTTTTTATGCGAATATTAACAAAAATTATTAGCAAAGATTATTAACAAAAAATATCATACTTTGGTCTTCCTGTCAATACCCATTGTATGATTTTATTCTAATAGTGAATGTACCTACCATTATTAATCTATTCTTTATATAATCGAAGAGGGGAGGGATTTAAATAATTTTTTTTTAGTAAATATTAATTAAAAAACACTAGCACAACAACAACAACACAAAAAAAGTTTTATCCTTTGGCTAAAACCGATGATAACTTGTGGACCTTTCTGAAGAGAACATTATATGTTTGTGGTGTCACTGTGGTAGTGGCCCAAAGAGCCACAATAAATATGATAATGTGAACCCTTATAAATCCTTGAGTGTGCTTCTAATAGAGAAGTTATGGTAACCTGTTGCTTTATGAAACTGATGATTTGCAAGTTGCCGCCCCCCCATTGGGGCAGAAGCGCAGCTAATATGTGAATCACAAAGATACAGCTCATAAACTAGAACATAAGTTGATACATGGTGCAAATGGTTACATGTAACACAGGTTCCCAACATCCACACTAACACAACGGAACAGAAATCAGAACTTTAACAGAAAGCGGTGGGAATCGGAACTGAATCAGCAGAAATTGCTAACGCTTATTGCACAGTTTGGAAGCATGTCAAAGTGCAAGTAGATAAATAGGTACCGCTCCAGCGGGAAGGTAAACGGCGTTTCCGTGCGCTGCTCTGGTTCGCCAGAAGCGGCTTAGTCATGCTGGCCACATGACCTGGAAGCTGTACGCCGGCTCCCTCGGCCTGTAAAGCGAGATGAGCGCTGCAACCCCAGAGTCGGCCACGACTGGACCTAATGGTCAGGGGTCCCTTTACCTTTACCTATTAAACATGAATGAGGTAATGATGTACAGTGGTACCTCTGGTTGCCAACGGGATCCGTTCTGGAGGCCCATTCGCAACATGAAAAGCCCGCAACCTGAAGCGCCGTATCTGCGCAGGTGCATGGTGCGATTTGGCGCTTGTGCGCATGCGCGAGTGGCGAAACCTGGAAGTAACCCTTTCTGATACTTGCGGGACGCAACCTGAAAAAACGTAACATGAAGCAAACGTTACATGAGATATGACTGTATATGATTGGTGGAAATTGAAATGCTTTGTTTGAAATTTATAAATACCCCTACCGGGACCACCGGGTGGGGTTGCAGTTTTGCGAAACAATTCAACTGTAACCTGTTGCCTAGCAATAAACAACAATGGGCTCCTAACTCCTCTTGTCTCTGAGTTTTATTGACGTAAACTCAGAAGATAAGCCATTTTTGGCTTACAACACCACCACAGAAAAAGCACTTTCCTCATAGGCCTGGCCTTACCTTCTTGCCAGCAAAAAAAACCCCACCAATAAACTTTACTTCACCTGCAGAAAAAGGCACCTGGAGATATTACCTCACAAGTGTGTGTGTGGTGCAGGAGGGTGACATATGTGACACCATTTACTGGACACAGACAGAGGGCTTTCAAGAGGCATTTGTTTGGTTGCCATGGAAACCAGGATGCTGGCCTTTGGCCTAATTCAGCAAGGCCTTCATTTTCCAAGAGGCAGAGGGAGAATCATAGAATCGCAGAGTTGGAAGGGACCTCGAGGATCACGTAGTCCAACCCCCTGCAATGCAGGAATATTTCACCCAATATGGGGTTCAAACCCATGAACCTGAGATTAAGATTCTCATGCGGTACCAAACTGAGCTATACAAATGGTAAAACACAAGCATTCCCTTGTGAGGTGGGCAAAGTGGCCAACTAGATGGGGGGTGGAAGGCTGGGTCTGGGGTCCTGCAGAGTTAACCCTTTCCTCTTTGCATTTTGTGGATTTAAATCTGCGCCCCCCCCCGCCCAAGCTGCTACTTGCCCCTCTCCAGGAAAGCCTATGAGTGTCAAGTGAGGATGGAAAAGAATTTCAGTTTAGTGAACGTTTCCAGTTTGCCTACCTAAATTCACAGAAGCCAAACCCAAAGTTTATAAACACAAGCTTTTAAAATGTTATACCAAGCCTCCGTCTGAATACCTTTCAACATCCTAAATGTTGCCACTAGAGGCTGAGATGTGGGCGGCGAGGGTGGCAGTGGGCAGACGGTTCCATTGCAGGAAAGAGCTAAAACGAGAAGAAATTAAACTAATGACAATTCAATCCTATCTCACTTTTCCTCTCCAGGGTTTCAAGGTTCAATAGATATATCAAGAGAAGTTTCTCATTAACGTGCCATTAAATCTTCTGGCGGAGGCGGGGGGTGGGGAGAGAGACTGCAAAGAGACCTATGGCGCATGTGGTGTTGTTTTTTAAAAAAGCTCTCCACACTAATATGATCTTGTTTACGTGATAAGACTCATGCTCCACACAGCACTTGCTGCTGTACTTAATATTTTTTAATATAGGAGATGCCTCAGGTACCTGCATTTTGGCAGCTCTCAGAGTGCACTACAGCATATTGTCCTTAATATTTCATGAAGGGGAGACATGGAAAATATGTCCCACTGCAATAGATCGCCCTTGGCACTGCTCTCAAGGACTGCAGCGGAGGTTACGGGAAGGGCAGTACCTGCCTTGCATAAGGCGAAACGTTTTGATATGGTCAGCTGTTAGGCTCATGCCATTTCGCCCCAGTACGGAAGCGGAAGAATACCTGCCAGTCCCCCAGTGTTTCGAAACAGACACAGCTTGCAGGAGGAGCCATGAGCACAGGGTCCGTGTTCCAAGTTTGTCCCAGACCCGAGAAAGGATGCCTAGGCATTGCCAACACCTATGGAACTCCCTCCCACTAGACACTCCCCCTAGCTTTGGGGTGGGGTGGGGGCAGTGCCTGCCAAAGCATTGAACCATCTGGCATAAACGAATCTTTAATAGGACACTGGATGTTTACCTCGAATATATTATTACCTGCCATGACCTGTCAGGCTGGAAGGAGGGAGGAAATGTGCATTAAAACAAACGGATAAATATATTTAGATGCAAATGCATACTTCATGGCAGCTCACACACTTTTCTTTCTTTCCTTTTCATACTATGCCGAAGTCACATTGTCTCCAGTGCTCTCCCAGAGCTGACAAACTGCGTTCCCCATTAGCCTTTTACACAATATTCGGTTGTTATGATATTGTATATATGCATTAACAAATAAAAGAATGCATTCACAACAATTATGGTCCCCTTCTGCTCGATTTACTTGTCAGCATGCATTCATGGCTGTGTAAAGGATCTCCTTTGCAGGCTCTCATCAAGCGTACAGTTTCCTCCTGGTAATGTCAACTTAGTATGGCAGGCAAGGAAACCGACCAGGTGAGGCTGGCCGGCTTTCAGGTTTTATCCGTCTCTCCCCCCCCCCTTTTTAAACTGGTGGTGGTATTGATATGTGCATGGGGGGGGGGAGGAGGAAGAGAAAGAAGTGGCTCAAAAAGTAATTGCCATAAATTACACACTGTCTCTGGTAAATTGCAATGAGAACAGGAGTGAAACGTGAGCCAAGCGGGACTTCCTGGAATGAGCCAGTAAGAACAAGAAAAATGGCAATTAGGGGTTGACCTAAAAACAATCACAGCCAACTCTGGGGCCTTGGGTGTGGGGCTTGTCAAATGACCAGAAAAATAGAGTGGCTCAGCCAGTCTCCCCAACCCCCTATTTTGCACACTAGTTTCTGGAAAAGTAAAGGCTAGGAACAGATTCCCCCTCTCCCCTCAGTAGGTGATTGACTAAACCAGAGGCAGAGCAAAGTGGAAGATTGTAGAGGCCATATCTTTCGACCTCCACGGCTGCTGGGATGTGTCCAAGACCACAGGAGGGGGTTACTCAGCATTCGTTGCAAACCTGTCTTGAGATTTGACGACCAGAAGGGGGAAGGCCAAGGTGGGAGGGGCAGGCAAGTTGTCTGAGCAGCTGGGAGTTGGAAGTGAATACAGTGGTACTTCTAGATGCGAACAGGATCCGTTCCGGAGCCCCGCTCGCATCTAGAAGCAAACATAACCAGCGACGGCACGTCTGTGCATGTGCGCATCACTTTTTGCCGCTTCTGCGCATGCGCGTGACATCATTTTGAGCGTCTGCGCATGAGCAAGTGGCGAAACCCGGAAGTAACGCGCTCCGTTACTTCGGGGTTGCAACTCGAATGCGCTCATCCTGAAGCACATTCAACCCGAGGTATGACTGTACAGTGGTACCTAGGGTTACATACGCTTCAGGTTACAGACTCCGCTAACCCAGAAATAGTACCTCGGGTTAAGAACTTTGCTTCAGGATGAGAACAGAAATCGTGCTTCAGAGGTGCAGTGACAGCAGGAGGCCCCATCAGCTAAAGTGGTGCTTCAGGTTAAGAACAGTTTCAGGTTAAGAACAGACCTCCGGAATGAATTAAGTACTTAACCCGAGGTACCACTGTAGTAAACATGGGGCAGAATACTAGCACATGTGGGGTCAGATGGATGAGAACGACAGGGCCTCATTATCTTCTACTGTCTACCAGGTGTGTAAAGAGAACCTTGAGATGATTGTGTTGAGCCAAGTGGGGAGAAATTTCTTGCTGCACCCAGGTATGGTGGTACAGAATTTTAGCCCTTCCTGAGGACAGTCTCACCATCAGGTCACCTAAGAGAAATTGCAGATCTCCCAACATTCTGTGTCAAGTTTCTTCCTAGTTTGGGGTAAATAGGACTCCTCCTTACAATTTTCCCATTCCAGTCCACATATTGTTGGCATCCGTCTGTGTTGGGAAGACAATGGAGGAGTGCGCCTTTGGGGGTGCAGTCAAACTGTTGGGAAGCAGTGCCTGCTGTGGCTGTAGAGACCGATATAGGAGAGACATGTTTTGTTGCAGCTGGGGCAGATGGAGGCATCCACTCGTGCTGCTGCAGATGCACCAGGGCATTCCTTCTCTCTGCATTCCTCCCAGGAGTCTTTCCTCCTCTGGTCACTGCTGTGGATACACTTCTTGACTGACTGTCTGCAAGCACTGCGGTTGTCTGCAAGGGATTCCCACATGGTGGGGTTGGTGTTGCCAGCCTTAATGTCTTGTTAGCAGACATTTTTGTAATGCAGATGTCTGTGGGAAGCCTGCAAGCTGGGAATGAGGCCAACAGCCCTCTGCCCATGCGTGATGCTCAGCGACAGGTATTCAGAGACATACTGCCTCTGACAGTGCAGGTAGAACATAGCCACCTGGGAACTGATGTTCCAAACAACAGACAATCTTTGCTGAAAGGCAAAGACCATATTTGTGTCACCTGGCCTGCAAAGCAGATGTGTTTCAGTGCAAGGATTGACACTACCACCAGCAACTGCTTAAGTCCCACTTCATTGAAAAGCGGCACCAATTAAACCACCATTAACATGAAGGTCCTTTGGGCCAGGACAGTGCAAACCCTGCTGGAGAAGAAATTGCGAGAGCAGGACTGCAGGAGGTGAAGCGCTCTCTATTTGCAAATAAGATCGGGAAAGGAATCTGACCTGCCTGGGTCCTCTTACCAAATCTAAGCCCATTGTGTGGTGCCAACAAGTAACCTAACGCTTGTTAATAAAAATATATCAAAGCAAACAAGACCGAGCTAACTGCCACAGAGGACAAATAAAAGGCAGGCACGCACTCTCCAAAGCCTTCCACAGATGCCCCCACAAAAAGTGTTAAAACTCAAATGCAAGCAACCCAATCCTTTGCCTCCTCCCCAAGTTGCATGGAATAAAAGGCGCGACTGGTGGGAGACAGGGACAATGTGATTTTGCCCCAGATCCTCCAGCACAGAACTGCCTTTAGTATAAGGATGGGGTGGGGGTGGGGGTGGGAGAGATTCAATTCGGTTTGCACTTCCTGAAACAATACACAGATCAAAACACAGCCATCTTTTGAAATTCACACTTATTGGAATTTTGAAATGCAATCCGTCAGCCAAGTGATGTGTACGAAAATGCATCTGCTAGGGTAAGATGGGCAGATAAATGAACAGATTAGTGAAAATAGCACACAAAGATGCATTGGGCTAATACTTCCTGCACTTTGTCCTGCATCCATATAAGAATGTAGAAAACCAAGCCCCACCATTTATTTATTTTTTGAAATCATTTTTATTGGTTTTACAAATACAAAGTTATAAACAAAAAAATCAAAAAGTATATGCATGTAAAGAGATTCCTCCAAATCTCAGGACTCCCTCCCCCCATCCCTTCTCTGGGGTCCCACTTTAAACATTTACTACTGCATATTCTTCCATACTCCAATTTTTATATCAAACTGTATTATCCATGGTAATTATTACACTACAAGTGAAATCAAAATCCTGCTAATGTTTCCATCTGCTTATGGTGGTCTCCTAAGTAACTTATAAATTTTCCCCATTCTTTTATAAAGTTTTTGTCCTCTTGGCTTCTGAGTTTTCTAGTCAGTTTTGCCATCTCGGCATAGTCCACTAGCTTGGTTTGCCATTCCTCCCTGGTAGGGACTTTGTCTTCTTCCATCTCTGTACTAGTAACATCCAGGCGGCTGTTGTTCCATACATGAAAAGTCTTTTCTGTTCCCTTGGAATGTCGGTACCTGTAATTCCTAACAAAAAAAGCTTCTGGTTTCTTAACAAGGCTTATTTAAAGCATCCCCCCCCCATTTCATTATATATCATCTCCCAGAAAGCTTTTATAACCTTACAAGTCCGCCACATATGATCAAAGGTACCTTCTTTTTCTTTACACTTCCAGCAGGTATTTGTACTTGTCCTGTACAGTGGTACCTCT